CTCTGGATTGATGCTTTGGGTTCTGTGGGATACGGGCAATGGTGTTGGGGCTTGTGGCCCAAGAGATGGTTTCTGTTAGGCCTGAATAGGAATCTGGCCTTCTTGGAACTGCTACAGATTGTGTTGTCTGTATTTCTATGGGGACCATTTCCCTTTACACAATAGTTGCACATTAAGTAAATTATGTAAAGCAACTAGGCATTTTCTTGAGACTTCAGCAAATATTTTTATTTTAAGATATTTTTATCTACATATCTGTGGATTGGTAATAGGCACCTGGTTTGCCCCAGCTATGCCAGCCTGTTCATGTCATTATTGAGAGAGTACACTCCTCCTCTGAGAAACACAACATGAGTGACCTAATATCGGACAATTCGGACAATCACTGAATTTGACAGGATACTCAACTGTGAAATTGTCAATTAAAAAAGACGAAATAATTGGTGAAACTCATCTCAATTGCACTGGAAGGACCTGTGGACAGTATATATACATATTGCTAGTATTTTTTTTACATTTCATTTGTGTTAAGTTTTTTAATTGCCCTTTTACTTATTCTAATAAAGCACTATTTGTAAGTTTAAGTTCTGTATATTCCTGGTACCTTCCAACAAAGAAGTGTTGTGTTCCCTATACAAACACACAAGCTGATACAGTAAAAGCCAAGTACAATAGACTCTTTACAAGGTGTGCAGTAACCTGCATGTTTTTAACATTGTATTAATCTTAGAAGGTTTTACACTTCGAATGCTCCTTTTTCCCTTTGTCTCCCCATTACTGGAGATCTGGGATCCACCATTTGGTCCATCAAAAGAAAGGTGAGCTCCCTGTACTGGTACATATGCTATTACACTAAGATCACAGTATACCAAGCTCTGTAAAAGGTGAACAGCCACATATACAGCAAATTAATAACACTGTTTTAAAAGGTTTTCCACGAGGAACCGTGCTCCCTTCTGCTTTGGAATACAGAAGAGGCCCCAATATTGCCATAATTTACCAATGCTGGTGTGAACTGAGCCTATCCTCATCAGGCTCTGCTCCATGTGAGCAGTGGTGTATCCTGGTTTTGTGCTGCCCTAGGCAGGACAAAACTCAGGCCACCCCCACCCAACCCTTCCCCCCGCCCCACCTTCTAAATACACACACACACAGTCAGACACAAAGACACACACACACAGTCAGACACAAACACACACACACACACAGTCAGACACACACACACACAGTCAGACACACACACACAGTCAGACACAAACACACACAGACACAAACACACACACACAGTCAGACACACACACAGACACACACACACACACACAGTCAGACACATACACAGACACAAACACAGTCAGACACAAACACACACACACAGTCAGACACACACTCACAAACACAGACACAAACACACACAGTCAGACACACACACAGTCAGACACACACACAGTCAGACACATACACAGACACATACACAGACACATACACAGTCAGACACAAACACACACACTGTCACACACACACAGTCACACGCACACACTCACAAACACAGTCAGACACACACACATTAACTTTTTTTTTTAAATTTAAATCCCCCCCCAACCTCCTTACCTTTGGGAGTGCTGGGGGGGGGTCTCTCTCCCTGGTGGTCCAGGGGCTGCAGGTCGGGCGGGCGGCGCTGGCAGGCGGGTGGCTGGCGAGGGAGCACTTCATATGAGCTGACTGCTCAGCTCCCTCGCGCGCCGGCTGCAGAGTGAGGCTGGGAGCCGGAAGATGACGTCATCTTCCGGCTCCCAGCCTCACTCTGCGGCGCGCGAGGGAGCTGAGCAGAGAGCTCATAGGAAGTGCTCCCTCGCCGGCCGCCCGCCTGCCAGCGCCGCCCGCTCGGGATGTCAGTTAGCCGCGAGGCTAACTAGGCATTTGCCCTGGGCATTTGGGGGGCGGCGTTTTTTGCCGCCCCCTGAAAAATGCCGCCCAAGGCAAATGCCTTGTTTGCCTCGCGGCTAATACGTCCCTGCATGTGAGTGCATCCATTAGCCCTCACGCTTTAGTCTTTTCTTGGACTTATTACACTATTGTACGTATCTTTTTTCCCTCTAGTATACTCTGTTAAGACGGGAATTAGCTATTGTTTGATGGGTAAGTAAATTATATTTAGCACTCCACTAGGTTTATGTGAGTGGGATTGCATCATTCAGTTCAATCTTTTTCCTAGTGGGGACCATTTCTGGGGAACAAGAAGGTCATATTCTGGTGCCACATTCTGGGGGTTGTGCAGGACATTATTAACATGTCAACCTCTTCTCCCCCATGGATATGGCTGTTGCAGAAGCTGGCTCTCTTGTGTTTACAGCACAATATGTTTGTTCAAGCTGTCCTTGTTCCAGAAATTGGAATGATGTTGCCAACTATTTGTATCGGCAGTAATGGGACCATTTTCAGCTGCTGGCACCGGAAGCGGATGAAGAAGCCACTACCATCCTGTCGTGGCTTTGGACATTAGCAGAAAGAACGTGATCATGCTTATACATAGTACTTGCCACTTGAACCGCTTATAACAAAGTTTGGAACAATGGTGATTGTTTCTTCAGGGCGCAGGTAATCCAGTGATCATAGATGATATTTGCTCTGTCTTATTGTGGTTTATAAGACAAATATTTGCCAATAACATTTATGTTCCTTCGGTAAATAGGAAAATGTCAGCGACAGCAGCTTATTTCAAGTTTAAGGGTCACACTAAACCAAAGATTTTATAGTCTTGTACTCATCGCCCTGTCTCTTATGTAAATTTACTGCATTTCATATCACTCTTTCTATCTGCATATTCTTCAGAAAAAGTTTTAATTAGCCTTCTCTTGAACTTTATTTGGTGCCTTTAAAGTGAGTGAACTAGTCTCCACCTCTAGGGGTAAGCATGGAGGCATTTTATTTGAAATGGTGTAAATCTCACATTACTCGGTACAGACATCTATTCGCAGGTCAAAGACTGATCGGTGAGGATAAGGCCTCAAAATATGCATGTTGGCATGGTATGGCTCCCCTGCTTATCATATGCATTGCTTCACAAAATTCTTACAGTCAGATCCCCAGAGTCTTTCCCCTTTACTGGTGCACTGTGATGGTCCCAGACAGTCTGAGGTCTAAATATTAGGACATTTATGTGTGCTTTGAACAGCCAAGCCAACTTTTGAATTGCCCCAACTGAGAGCAGTTAGTATTTAGTCATGACGGGATAAATATATGATGGTTAGTTATTTGGGGTCTTCAACGGGCAACCATGCCCCAAATCCTTTCACAGTCTGTGATCAAAAGGGAACCTCCTCAGGTGTTGGCCAAGTACATCAGTGGTAATTACATGTGTTCAGTGCCCCTGAGGGATGTGATTATTATATACAAGCTGATATCCTTAGGCTGTGGCTACAATACCCTAATCTGGTCATTGTACAATTCAATATGATATTGAGGTTATCATAGCATGGAGATAATAGCCCCCCAGGGGATTGAGCAAGCTAGGAAAAAAAATGGAATTATTGTCTGCTTTATGGCTGTTAATGCAATCCAGTCTGGCATTGAAAAAGTGGTAGCTATGTGGAAGAGCCTCTAACATTCAAGGAGTGTATGGCAGGGGTCCCAGAGGATTGGCACCAATGTAGGGGTTGGCCATTGTTGCGTATGGCCAACCCATGTTATCTGCACTGGCTCCACATGGGCTTGTCCCTTGGAGAGTGAAGTACGACTACTGAGCAAAACTATTGACAACAGTAGCCACAAGGACATAGATTATGCATACGCCTGATCCTCGGGAGCTCTACCCTATGTGGGCTAGGATTAGTGACACGCTACTGCTTATAGGTTCATTATGATAAGTATTACTTTATTATTTTATATTACTTTATCATTACATGTTATTACCTGTTTTTGTTTACAGCTATTTTGAGATGTTCGTTTTATGTTGCAGAATACTGATACCTTTCTAGCCACTCCTTTGTCTGTGTAATTTATCGGTCATACAATTGTCATGACATGAACTAGTTCCTGTTTCCTTTATTGGTTTGATGACACAATATTTTTGTACTGTAGTAAAATTATTGTGTTAAGATTTTTTTTTTTTTTTTTTATGAATCAAAGTCCAGTAAGTATCGTGTCAAATGCCAGAACTCCTAATGTATCATATAACTATATTAAGAATAAAAATACAATTAAAACATTACATATTGATAGTAAGTCAGATGCTGTAGGTTGTAGATGAAGCTGCATCCTCACAATACTCTAAAGAAAAAGTTATAGTGAGGTTTCAGAATCTCGGTCGACCACAGGTTGCAACAGACATTGCTGGCTTTGTGGAGCTACTGAATTCAGACTTGTAATTGAATCAAAGCCCAGCATGCCTAGCTGGAACGGCAATAGATAGAAAATGAAGAGATACCAGATACATTTTGAAGCAAGCATTATGAAGATAAATGAATTACATTGTAATGAGAACACTTCCGGCATTATTATTGTCTTATTATAGGTTTCCAGATGCACATTAAGGAGTAATTTTGGATAAAGGCCACACACATCTGATGAGATAAATGAGTTTTTACCATTACGTGCCACAGAGAAAAGAACAATATTAATCTACAACTTTGTGATTGCTTGAATGGCGGACAAATATATTCATGGTATTGGTATATGGCTATATAGATCAAAAGAGAGATTTGCAAATGTATGGTCTGATATTATAGCTGGAACATTAGAGACATTTTGAAGTATGGGGGTTTTTGTAGGAAGATCAACAAGGTTAGTTATTCAGAACTGATTTTTAGCGTTAGAGACAAAGACCAACAGGTTAAATTAAAGCATTTATTGATCAGTACAGCCAGGCCTGGACTGGCCATTGGACAAACTGGGCAAATGCCTAATGAGACGCGATGGCCACTGGCCGATGCAGACAGGGGAGATTCTGCCATCTACCCTGTCAGCCCATGCAGAGCCAGCCTTGCTGTCTGCTTTCACAGCTTCCCAGCCTTGCTGTCTCAATCTCAAAGATCTCCCTCACTGGACCACTGGCACTTCGTTCCAGAAGAGGGAAGTAGGGAGGACCCGGGAGACTGAATATTCCTCCAGGCAGTTTAGAGCATTGCCACGGGTTACCATGGCAAATTTCTGACACAGCGCTCAGCTTGGGAGAGGAGTAAAGTCACCCTTGCTAAAGTTTTCTCGCAACCACGGGACCACCAAGACTTGAAATATCCCTTCCCCTTCCCTGGCCAATAGCAAGAAGAATGGAGGGGGGACATAAAGCTTTAAAAAAAAAATAATAATAATAATAATAATAAAAAAAATGTATATATATATATATATATATATATATATACACACATTTGCTCCCTTCTCACCCCCACACACAATGTAGACCTTATGCACCCTCCACACACAGTGTACCCTTACACACAGTACATGCCTCACACATTGCACCACACACACACACACTGCATTCACTACATCCCCTGCAGACACTCTGGATCCCCTAAACACTGCACAAAAACACTACATTCCTAAATGATGCACAGTACATTCTCTATAGACACTCTGGATCCCCTATGCACACACTAGTATGTAAAGGCACACTCTGAACAGCCCCTACACACACTACAGCGTCTATGCACACATTACTTTATACCCTATGCACAAACTATGCCTCCTATACATACCCTTGAATATTTGTCCTTGTTACAGACACACAAGGTTAAACACACAGGTTAAAATGGCAGTTAGTGTCTGTGTCTGAAATGTTAAAAGACCTGCGTAACAAGGTAATGGAACTTTATAAGGATGGGAAAGGATATAAAAAGATATCCAAAGCCTTGAATATTACAGTCAGTACTGTTTAATCACTTATTAAGAAGTGGAAAATTTGAGGATCTGTTGATACCAAGCCAGGCTCAGGTAGACCAAGAAAGATTTCAGCCACAACTGCCAGAAGAATTGTTTGGGATACAAAGAAAACCCCACAGGTAACCTCAGGAGAAATACAAGCTGTTTGCAAAAAGACGGTGTGGTTGTTTCAAGGAGCACAATATGATGAAACTTGAACAAAAATTAGCTACATGGTCGAGTTTCCTGAAAGAAGCCTTTACTGCACAAATGCCACAATAAAAGCTTGGTTATAATATGCCGACAACACTTTGACAAGCCTCACAGCTTCTGGCACACTGTAATTTGGAATGACGAGACCAAAATAGAGCTTTATGGTCACAACCATAAGCGCTATGTTTGGAGAGGGGTCAATAAGGCCTATAGTGAAAAGAATACCATCCCCACTGTGAAGCATGATGGTGGCTCACTGATGGTCTGGGGGGGTGTGAGCTCTAAAGGCATGGGGAATCTTGTATAAATTGAAGGCAAAGTGAATGCAGCATGTTATCAGAAAATACTGCAAGACAATTTGCATTCTTCTGCACAAAGGCTGCGAATTGGACGCTCTTGGATTTTCCAGCATGACAATGACCATTAGCACAAGGCCAAGTTGACCCTCCAGTGGTTACAGCAAAAAAAGGTGAAGGTTCTGGAGTGACCATCACAGTCTCCTGACCTTAATATCATGGAGCCACTCTGGGGAGATCTCAAGAATTAGGGGCCTCACAGATTATGGAATTTGGATAATACACTTTTGTATTGTTAGCCTAAGAAAGCCCCATTTATTATATGGACTCACATATTCATATCATAATACGTTATTGTGACAAGACCAATCTCGCCACTGTGCATTGGAGGAGCCTGGTTGCCCGCCTGCTGCCTTTAGACTATGGCCCCATGTTGACACGCTTGATTTTCCCCTGCAAAGACATGAAAGCCGGGTCATTCAGTGTTTCCCCTGTTTGAGTGGTGATACCCCAGATAGCTATGCCATGGAGCCTATTCATATAATCAAAGACTATGGGAAAGACTTTGGCTCCATGGCAATTGAACTGTATGTGTGTGATCTGAGCGCCATTCAGTAATAATGTGCACTCAGATCTGAGCTATTTGGAGATATGTTGAATGTACCTGTTTTATGCAATGGATGCACAGTTATATATTTTTATGTATTTTATTGTCTTTTGCTGCCATGTGTTCAATGGAGTTTTGCCTCTGTCCTTGGAGATAATTTGATTACTTCTCAATTATCTCCAGGATAGAAGACTCGGTGGAACTGGTTTTGGGCAGAAAAGCCATGCTTCATTTGGTCACAAAGGACTACGATCTATCTTTTGAACCACTGGACCGATTTGTATGATTTTGACGTATTTTTGTATTTGGAGTATGCTGATTCTGAAAATGTGAATGTGATGCATACTTTTAAAATTATGAATAATGTGGAAAAACTGTATTTCTCTGCCTGTGATAATTACATTACCCATTGTGTAAGGTAATTGTATCACAGGCAGAGGGGAGGATTTTGTGTGGGAGTGTGTATTGTACGTGTTTATTGGTTATTTTCCAAAACCCTGTGGGTGGTACTAATGTGTAAGAATGTGTATATAAGAACAATAAACACACAGCTCTGCCTGTTCCTGCTTGACCCTCAAAACGGAGCCTTGTCTCGTTCTTGGTGAGATTTATTGTATGCTGTTCCAGTTTTACTGCTAGGAGTGTAAACCTATTCGTATGGTTTTTCCTATTCGGCTGTTTACAGCATTCGTATGGTTCCGGTTCGGCTGTTTACGGCATTCATATGCTTCTCCGGTTCGGTGGATTGGCATCTACAGTAGCTGCCTGTATATCTGGAAGGGGAATATCCTCTAAATGGCGTTTAACCCCTTTTATGCCCGGGGTGCCGTTACAGTTATCAAATGTCCAGCTCTACAGCAACACCAGGATTCATGCACAGGGTTTGTGAGAATATCAACCTTTATTTACCATAAGAGCATGGTAATAGTGAAATGCTCAAGAATTTAGTTAAAAGAAAAGAAATGAATTAGAATGACCACAACAATTCTTAGAAAGAAGATTTCACTACCAATACTTTGTAGCAGTGCATTGTACTGTCGATTCCATGGTGAGTGAATCAAATGATTGAGAACTTGAGCTAAATTGGCATACATTTTTTGTGGTACAACCACGAAATGCTGTGGTGACATTCTGAGGTCCTGTAGAAGAAAAACATTGCATATATTAGCAAATATAAAAGTCACGGTGACCAATATTAGTACATTTCCCAAAGTGATACTGTTGTGCAGAGATGACAAATTTTAATTTTTTCTATAGTGTAATAACTAATGTATTTATAGATAATACAGTGCATGATATTAGTCAATCAGTGCATGGAATTCCATGAACTATTTAATGTATATACAAGAATACTTGCCGACAATGAAGACAATATATATATCGTTATTTGTAAATAAATGATAATAATACACATATGGTTAAACCTCACTGAGTAAACTAAGGAAAGTGTTCAATTATTGCTGCACCTTGATAAGTGTATCTCTTATAATTAAGTAGTTTAATCTTATCGGAGTACCAGTCCTTCTGCATCTTCTTGCTAAGACTTTCTTGAACCTCGGTTTGGAACCTTGCTTGCCCAACTAAAGATCACACATCTCTACCTGACACAATAACAGTGTGATCTGTGGTCGATGAAGCACTCACTCCTGACCAAGGCTCAAGCAAAAGTCATCATGCAGGTGGAGAAGGGCTGAGAACCTGACAAGGTCCTTTAAACCAGCACTGTCACCCTTTCTGAAAAATTTGTATTTCAAGAAGATAGAATCTTTAAGAAATACTCATATTGACAGTGTTAGAATTTCACTGAAATTCCAACCCAGTCAAGTGATATACCGAGACAAAGTAGGAACCACTTTGTCTCTGTATATTTCCTACGCCTGACACTTATAGAAGTTGGGCGAAGCTACCGCTGTCTAGAAGTGTCAATTCCCCTGTGATCACCAGTGATGGCTACAGCCAAATAGCTCTGTCTATGGAGGTTCTCACAATCTCTCCAGATCCTCTTTAGATTACATTGCTGTACTCTCACACATGCAGAGAAGAGAACCCACTGGGTGAAGAAGACCATGCCTGCGAGGGTTATGTTCAGGGAAGAAGAATTCACCTTTACCTGTCCCCCGGCCATCGAGCCCGCAGTGGCAATGTCACTATTGGAAGGTCTCTGCGAATTCTGCAAAGTACCCAGATGGTGACAGGGCTCCTTTAAGTCTTCAGTATTTATTTAAATAATAAGAGCAAGATTTTATATATACATATATATACACACACACATATATATATATATATATATATATATATTTATACACAACATCTACAGCAACTAAACACACAATCTCTACAGCCCTTCGACATACAAGCACATACACACACTATATATTAAATCTATCTATCTATCTATCTATCTATCTATAATATAAAATCCTCTGACTCTAAGTACTGCTAAACAAAGGTCTCACCCACCCAGGAACGGACTGAAAACGTATAGGGCCCCCGAGCAATAAAGAGATCAAGGGTCCCCTTCCAGGTGCAAGAATTTTTGGCTGCAAAGGCACAGATGCATGTTGTCAGCCACCATTTCACATTGCAAACGCTCTTCTCACCCTTTGACTGTGCGTCTCTCAAACAGATATTACGAGCTTGTTGCATAGCACCGAGACTGGCTGTGTAAAAGCTGCACAGTCATGACTCCCTTACCAACAGGACCCCTCTTCAGAGACAGATTTACTTTTAAGGGGTTACTCCAACCAAAAACAATGTTTTAATAAAACACTGTTTTTGGATAGATTAACCATTGCTGGCACAAACCTCCTTTTAAAAAAAAAGCAAATGTATTGGCCTGGTTGCACTGGGGGCATCTTGTAAAGAGTGTTGTGCATGTGTGAGGGGTCTGCTTGTAGTGATATATGTGGGATTGTGTGAGGAGATTCATCTGGTGTAGTATCTGTGTAAAGGAGTCTGATTTTGATGTTCTATGTACTATGTACAGTGTGTGTATGTGATCGTATGTTGAAGGGCTGTAGAGATTGTGTGTTTAGCTTCTGTAGATGTTGTGCCTTTGTATGGCTGTGTGGGTAGAGTGATAGCATGCCGGTTGTTTAAATGCAGAATGGCTGTAAATGTTGTAACTATTGTAGAGTAGTAAAGGAGCTGTGTGAGATGTACGTGCTGTGGCTCTGTATTGCTGACTGTGTGTGAGCTGACAGGGTGTGGTGTTATGTGTTTAATTGTAGGGTGGTGTCACGGGTTTGGGGTGAATGGGCTCAATATGCAGTTATTTGGACAGACACAGTCTTTAAATTTAGGGTCTTTATTATAAGGCAAGTAAATATAATTTAAAACGTCCCAATGCAAAACAGAAGCAGAAAATAAGGCGGTATCTTGATAAGAAGTAATAAGTCCTCAATGTGAAAAGGGGCAAGATTGCTGGTGTTAACCCTTAACCCAGGCAGGAACAGACACACAGGAAACACTGACCCAAGTAGACACACACAAGTAGACACACACACACACTAATCCAGACACACACATGCTGACTCAACCAGACACACACACACTGACCCAGTGGCGTACACATGACCCATGGGGCCCCGGTGCGAAAATTGATCCGTGGGCCCCCCCCCCGCGCGGGCCAGGCCGCAACACATGGGGGTGGGCACCTGGTCGCAGGGGTTACAGGGCTGCGACCCCTGCGACCGCGGTATGTACGCCAGTGCATGCAGATGCACACACACTTAAAGGACCACTCTAGGCACCCAGACCACTTCAGCTTAATGAAGTGGTCTGGGTGCCAGGTCCAGCTAGGGTTAACCCATTTTTTCATAAACATAGCAGTTTCAGAGAAACTGCTATGTTTATGAATGGGTTAAGCCTTCCCCTATTTCCTCTAGTGGCTGTCCCATTGACAGCCGCTAGAGGCGCTTGCGTGCTTCTCACTGTGATTTTCACAGTGAGAGCACGCCAGCGTCCATAGGAAAGCATTATGAATGCTTTCCTATGTGACCGGCTGAATGCGCGCACAGCTCTTGCCGCGCGTGCGCATACAGCCGACGGGGGGAGGAGGAAGAGGAGGAGAGCTCTCTGCCCAGCGGTGGAAAAAGGTAAGTTTTACCCCTTTCCAGAGCCGGGCGGGAGGGGGTCCCTGAGGGTGGGGGCACCCTCAGGGCACTATAGTGCCAGGAAAACGAGTATGTTTTCCTGGCACTATAGTGGTCCTTTAAAGGACTACTACAGACACCCAGATCACATCAGCTCAATGAAGTTGTCTGGGTGTCAGGTCCCTCTAGTTTTAACCCTGCAGCTGAAAACATAGCAGTTTCAGAGAAACTGCTATGTTTCACTGAGGGTTAATCCAGCCTCTAGTGGCTGTCTCACGGACAGCCAGCTAGAGGAGCACACTGAACGTCCATAGGAAAGCATTGAGTAATGCTTTCCTATGGGCGGTTTGAATGCGTCTTGTGTCGCATTCGGAGCTGAGAGGCTGAGGGATCCTCAGGGCCAAGGGAGTCCGGCGCTGGAGAAGGTAAGTGCTGAAGACACACACACTCTCACTTACAGACGCATACACACTAGCTAACAGACACACACATTTACTGACAGAGATACAGTCAGCGACAGACATACATACACACTCACTTACAAAACATACACTCTCATTGACAAACACACACTCACTAACAGACATCAAACAGACTCACTAACACACACACACTCAGTAAGACACACACAGTAGCACACTCAGTAGCAGACACACACACTAACACTCACTAGCAGACACACTCTAACACTCACTCTAACACTCACACTAACACTCACTCTAACACTCACACACACTAACACTCACACACACTAACACTCACTCTAACACTCACACACACTAACACTCACACACACTAACACTCACACACACTAACACTCACTCTAACACACACACTAACACTCACTCTAACACTCACACACACACACACACTAACACTCACACATGATTTTTTATTTTTTTTATATAATCCCCCCAGCCTCCTTACCTTTTGGAGTGCTGGGGGGATTCCCTGGGGTCCAGTGGGGCTCCTGGGCGGGTGGCCGGTCGGGCAGGCAGGCGGGCGCGCGAGGGAGCACTCAGTGCTTCCTCTTCAGCTCCCTCGCGCGCCGCGTAGGGATGCCGGAGCCGGAAGATGACGTCATCTTCCGGCTCCGGTATCATTGCGGTGCGCGAGGGAGCTGAAGAGGAAGCAGTGAGTGCTCCCTCGCGCGCCCGCCTGCCTGCCCGACCGGCCACCCGGGGTCAGCAGTCGCGACCCCTGCGACCCTGGTATGTACGCCAGTGCACTGACCCAAGCACATGCAAGCATACTGACTGAAACATGCTGACACACACACAAACACCATGAAGTCCCCTACTTGTCTTCATTTCAAATAGTTGTAGATACGAATATCCATCTCAATATCTATCCTAGCTGTTCATATAAGGGTTAATTTGAACCAAGAATAAATTTGGTATTGCACGGGAAAAGTACTGATTTCAAAATGTTCTTTTTAATTGTCCAAGATTTTGGTATTTGTGAGGGTTATTCGTTATATACAACTATAGATGGGAGCCCCACAACAGATTGCTACGACTGTGATTATTTAAAGCTACGGTACGAGTACTGTATTGGAACCCCCTTCTCTTCTAAGATACTATTGGACCCATTTAAGAGATTATATTATTGGGGTATATATCCCACTCAGGAGATACGATTGATTATTTCCTTAACCTATCTATCCCATTTTTTAAATTTTGTTCTGTTTTCCTTGTCTTTTTTTCTATTAGGATGAGTATTTTATTACAACAATCATTAAAAGCTATGTTTTATATATACAGAGTTTAATTAAGGGACTTCCTATTTCCTTGACCCACCGGGTCTCCTTTTCTCTTTGTACACACATATGTGAGGGTTACCCCCTTTATGGTCGCCCCTGACACACATTTAGCTGGTTCCCGTAGGGGCTTCTAGCTCTCTGCTATTTTATGATGTGCAACTCTGATTTTAAGCATAAAGTCTTAATTGAGGGAATGTCAAAAGTACATGTAAAGGTGATGATGAATAAAAGAAAAAAATAATAGAGGTTATTTAAGGGGAGCTACAAATTCTAGAACTAACATGATTTCTCTGCATGTATGTTTGTTTGCATAATGAGCCCTTAATTTTTATACTTGGACAAAAGCACTATAAGCCCACTACACTTTTTCATGAGATTGTTTATATGATGAGCCCTTTATTTTCATATTGGGACAAAAAGTCACTTCATTCAAAACGTCAAACACCACATTCTTTCTGCCCTGTGTGCAGAGAATTTATGTTGTAAATGTAGATGATTATAAATTATAGAGCAAAATTTATGGAGTGGCGGCAGGGGCCGGCAGGCAAAGAGATTGCGGTGCACCTTGCAATCATGGCATGATGCTAAAGAGTTGTGGTATAACCTGGTGGCCGGAAGGAGGTCTTGGCGCATGCCCAGCTCCCAGCACGCTGAAATCCATGTGGCATCTGATTAGTGAGCACAGCGCACCAGCCTCTCCCAGTGTGCCGTGAAAGGTGGCTACATGTGATGTAGCTGTAAGTGATGTGTGTTGCTGAGTGTGAGTAGAGTGAGGGATATGTGTAAGTAGCTGTGATTAGTATGTGTGACTGCTTATGGGTAGCTGTGACTGGTGTATGTTGATGTGTGTAGGTAGCTGTGAGTGATGTGTGGAGCTGTTGAGTGATGAATATTTGGCTGTGTGTGTGATTTTAAGTGTGTATTGCTGTGAGTGATGTCTGTGGCTGTGTATGGGCAGCTCTGAGGAAAGTGGGTGAGTTGAGAGAGGAGTTTGCAGGGTGAGGAGAGGCTGGATCCTTCCAGTATTTAGAGAATTTAAATAAACAATTAAGTTTTTGCCCCCTCTCAGCATTTCTTAGGTAGGAGAAACACTTACCTATTTCACGGTGGCCCAGTGGTTTAGTGTCTGATAACTGGCCATGTGTGGTTACCATCATTAAAAAAATGGATGGCCTCTGCGGAGGGGCCCTGAACCCGGAGGTATGACAGAGTTTTTGAGGCCTCCCTTTACTGGCCTGGGTCTTCAGGCATTGCCCAAGTGCCATAATGTTAAGTCTGCACCTGACCTCAACACTAACTATAAGTACCCCAATCCATGTTGAGCTCATGTCACTGTTACCATAAAGACCTTTTAACCTGAATAATTATAACCCCAAGCTTCCATAAAATCATCCCTAAAAACATAATTTTAAAGTATTATTTTCTAACGTGAAAGTTGTGAATTCAAAGAGTATTTCAGATTTAACATCAAAATAGATTCCTGACAGTGTGCACTTTCCTTAGTGTGCAATATTCAAACAATCAGTAGTGCATGCAATGACAAGCAAAGCAAACAAATAATAAACGTTATCCACTTTCAGACACATTGGTGTGGTACTCACCTATGAGTTTTGAAGACTGTAGGATGCACATGTTTTCATCCCCAGTGCAGTCTATAGTTTTGGAACTAGTGCACCAGTCACTGTCTGTAGTTAGACATACTCGACAAGACAATCCATTGGGTACAGTTTTGTCAGCTGGTACTTTACAATAGAGAAAAGAGAATATGCTATATATTTATTTATAAGATGTAGTAATATACAATTGTGCTCAAAAGTTTGCATACCCTTGGAGAATCGGTAATATATGTATCATTTTTAAAGAAAACATGAGTGAGCAGGCAAAACACGTTTCTTTTATTTCATATGGGATTCGTATTCAAGGTTAGCAAATTTAAACCTATTTAGTTTAGAAAAATGTCGCCTGAGAGGGGATCTGATAACATTATACAAAAATATTCGGGGCTAATATAAACCATTGTGTGGAAATCTGTTCACAAACAGGACTTTACATAGCACACAAGGTCATGCGTTTAGACTGGAAGAAAGAAGATTTCGAGAGGCAAAGGAAAGGTTTTTTTTTTTTTACTGTAAGAACAATAAGGATGTGGAATTCTCTGCCTGAAAAGTGGTTTTATCAGAGTCCATACAGATGTTCAAACAGCTACTAGATGCATATTTGCAAACACAGAATATTCAAGGATATAATCTTTCAATGTAGGGTAATAACTGCTTGATCCATGGATACATCTGACTGCCATTCTGGGGTCAAGAAGGAATTTTTTTCCTAGCTTGTTGCAAAATTGTGCTTCAAACTGGGTTTTTTGCCTTCTTTTGGATCAACAGCAAAAAACAAATGTGAGGAAGGCTGAACTGGATGGACGCAAGTCTCTTTTCAGCTATGTAACTATGTAACTATGTAACTGTAGGTTATAACAGAATGGCACAATCATAAAACAAAACATGTCAACAAAGAAAAAATAAAAGGACCCCTGTTCAAAAGTCTACATACCCTTAGTTATAAATACTGTGTATTGACCCGTTTAGCATCAATGACAGAGTGCAGTCATTTCTAATAGTTGATGACCCTAATTCCTGCTGGTGGTACAGCTGCCCATTGTCTTGGCAAAATTAATCCAGGTCAGGAGACTGTGATGGCCACTCCAGAACCTTCACATTTTTCTCCTGGGGTAACCTGTGGGTTTTTCTTTGTATCCCAAACAATTCTTCTGGCAGTTGTGGCTAAAATCTTTCTTGATCTATCTGACCCTGGCTTCGTATCAAGAGGTCCCCGAATATTCCACTTCTTAATAAGTGATTGAACAGTACTGACTGGCATTTTCAAGGCTTTGGGTATCTTTTTATATCCTTTTCCATCTTTATAAAGTTCCTTTACCTTGTTACGCAGGTCTTTTGACAGTACTTTTCTGCTCCCCGTGGGTCAGTCAACCAAAAAATTGACTACTTATACGCAGACTCTAATTGCAATTTTGCAATTGCTGTTTAAGCGCCACAGCGCCCGATCGGGCTCCTGCTGACACATGCCCACCGGGTGGCCCTTAGTGCATGGGCCACCCGGGGGGCCTCCTTAGTGTGCGGCTGGTGCGGCTCTGTGCAGCTGCACCGCCAGGTCCATGGGGGCTGCTCAAATGGCGGGGCCCACGGGCAGCTGCTCTGGGGCTCCCCAGGAGCAATTGGGCTTGGGGCAGCTGCCATGTTTGCTCCACGTTAAAGACGGCCCTGTTTATGGTGAAAACTAAAGACTTGGAACTTCTTGCTACAACACCATTTCTCACCATATCCACTCATTCATAGACACATAGAAACATAGAATGTGACGGCAGATAAGAACCATTTGGCCCATCTAGTCTGCCCAATTTTCTAAATACTCTGATTAGTCCCTGGTCTTATCTTATAGTTAGGATAGCCTTATGCCTATCCCACGCATGTTTAAACTCCTTTACTGTGTTAACATCTACCACTTCCGCTGGAAAGCTATTCCATGCATCCACTACCCTCTCAGTAAAGTAATACTTCCTGATATTATTTTTAAACCTTTGCCCCTCTAATTTAAGACAATGTCCTCTTGTTGTGGCAGTTTTTCTTCTTTTAAATATAGTCTCCTCCTTTACTGTGTTGATTCCCTTTATGTATTTAAATGTTTCTATCATATCCCCCCTGTCTCGTCTTTCCTCCAAGCTATTCATGTTAAGATCCTTTAACCTTTCCTGGTAAGTTTTATCCCGCAATCCATGAACCATGTTAACCACATTCCACTTAGCTTTTCACAACAGGCTCCATATAAATGCACAGCAACATACTATGTATCTTCTGATATAGATACCTACATTTGGGCATTGGTGGGGTACAATGATCTGTGGAACAGCAGCTGATGCCCATCTTTGTCTTTAAATTGGATTCCACTGTAATGCTTCCTTCAAAATCACAGTAGCTTGTGGGAGCACAATCTCTAAGAAATACTTCTGACACCTTAATTCCCTCTGTAAAGGACAAATAAACATTAGCTGTTAAGAAGAATATATAAGTCTGTAAGTCCTTCCATATGTTTCAATGCCTGTCTGTCTCTAACACCTACCATAACAAGGTCAGGGAAAATAAAGAGTGACAACGTTGCCATGAGTACTCATTTTCTGCATAGAATTCTGGGAGTATTGTGGAAGTCATAACAAGCCTACCTTTACACTATATTTCTGTCTTCCTGTATAACCAGCAGAAAGTAAAATGGTGGCCGACCTGAGTCTCACATTTCCTTCACACACTCCTCTTCACCCTCTTTTGCTCTGCTTATTTTTTTTCTCTTTTCCTTTTTTTCTCCATTAATTGACTGCTGAATTGTTCTTCTCTTGATATTAATACAATATGAACCCAACTAATCGTTGATGATAATAGAAATATTGCGTTCTCTTATGCTTGCTAGTCAACAATTTGTTTTTAATATATCTCGTTGATACAGCAACACAAGTTAACAAACTTATACCCAGTCCCCAACATTCTAAGACACTTACCTATAGAACATGTGATCAATAATTTGCTTTTAATATATCTCGTTGATACAGCAACACAAGTTAACAAACTTATACCCAGTCCCCAACATTCTAAGACACTTACCTATGGAACTTTCACCATATGAAGACATACAAACTTGATCTGAAGCACAGGTGACACTGGAGCCAGTGCAGGAACCACCTTTAATATTTACACACTTTATGCACGACAATGGGTAACCTGGAAAATAACTAATTTATGTTAACTGGACCAATTAAATGGTAGGAAATCACTGACTAATAACCTAATGAGGAACATTCAATGAAACCTGCTGACAGTTTTACATCAGAACTTCTAGGTTTTATCATTTAGTTATATATTTTGCAAAAAACTCAAATGACTACCTTTTTCATTACTACTTGGACTACTATTGCTAAATTCACAATAGCCTGACCCTTCCATTTTTTCTTCTCTTGGTCCTCCCCCCTTCTCCAACATTGACAATTCATTCACTTAATATATTATCCAAGCTACACATATTATAATAGATACAATCAGTCCTACACTGTGTTAAGAAGAGCATGAAGATTTTTTGTCTTCTAGTTCAAGTGCTTGGCTATTCTAAATTACTTTGCAGTATATAGAATCATTGGCAAGGCAATGTTAAAAAATCATTAAAAAAAAAATCATAGTTCTAAACTGTAGGAAAAGAATCTCCCACCTTATACTACACAACCACATTAACCCTACTCTTCAACTAGTATGTAATATAAAAGATACTTAACATGAAATATGTATTAGGGGGTTGTGGAAACATCCCGTCTTGCAGTTTCCTCTGATGCTTTCAGAACCACCTGAGTATTTACTTAAAATTCAGGATTCGTGGAAAGAAAGAAAGAAAGAAAGAGAAAGAAAGAAAGATAGTAAGAAAAAGATAAATTAACTGACATACCTGTAGAAATGAGAACTGACAACATACACAGAAACCCAAGTATTGATCCCATAATGAATTGTCTTATAGAGTCAGACTTGTGAAATGCTGAAGTTCTATTTACCACAAATAAACGAAGATAAACCTGGAGACTCTACTGTTCCAATAAAAGTTCAGAGGTGGGTGCTGGGGGATGGTAGATTAAACCAATGAAAATGAACATGGGAGAAGTAAGGGAAAAGTGAAGTTCATGTGGGGACAAATAGATATAAAGTTCAAAAAAGTTTTAGTAAAAAGTAAACAACATAAAAAATACTGGACCCAACATGTTAAGGAACAGTGTACTTAGAAATAACATCAGAATTCATGCTGCTACCAGCAGTAAAAAAGAAATATATAAATTAAATTAGTAAATATATAATACATAAATACAGATATAGATTATTTTGACTGGCCCCTTGCCATCAACCATTTTTTTCTCATTAATTATTTTGCTTTTGGTTCCATGGGCAGAATTCAGAATCATGAGCTGACCCGATCATGTTCAGCATTGACCATTTCAGGTGTGTAATTCTTTTAGATTTCGACTTTGTGTTTGAGAATTCGGTGCAGCACCCGATTGGACCAAATTTGGCCAAATTGCTGTTGGGGCAAATCCAATCTCCAAGTCTCGGAAACTACAATGTTGAACCATGATGTAAAAACAACTAATGGATGGTAGATTAAACCAATGAAAATGAACATGGGAGAAGTAAGGGAAAAGTGAAGTTCATGTGGGGACAAATAGATATAAAGTTCAAAAAAGTTTTAGTAAAAAGTAAACAACATAAAAAATACTGGACCCAACATGTTAAGGAACAGTGTACTTAGAAATAACATCAGAATTAATGCTACTACCAGCAGTAAAAAAGAAATATATAAATTAAATTAGTAAATATATAATACATAAATACAGATGTAGATTATTTTGACTGGCCTCTTGCCATCAACCATTTTTTTCTCATCAATTATTTTGCTTTTGGTTCCACGGGCAGAATTCAGAATCATGAGCTGACCCGATCATGTTCAGCATTGACCATTTCAGGTGTGTAATTCTTTTAGATTTAGACTTTGTGTTTGAGAATTCGGTGGAGCAACCGATTGGACCAAATTTGGCCAAATTGCTGTTGGGGCAAAACCAATCTCCAAGTCTCAGAAACTACAATGTTGAACCATGATGTAAAAACAACTAATTGCAAAATATAATATAAATGTTTGTTTAGTAAAAAGCCTAATTGTAAATTGTAGCCAAATGTATTAAAGGACCACTATAGGCACCCAGACCACTTCAGCTTAATGAAGTGGTCTGGGTGCCAGGTCCAGCTAGGTTTAACCTTTTTTTTTAAATAAATATAGCAGTTTCAGAGAGTTAATCCAGCCTCTAGTGGCTGTCTCATTGACAGCCGCTAGAGGCGCTTACGTGCTTTCCTATGAGACTGGCTGAATGCACGCGCGGCTCTTGCCGCGCATGCGCATTCAGCCGAGGAGGAGGAGAGGAGGCGGAGAGAAGGATTAGAGTCCCCCGCCCGGCGCTGGAGAAAGAGGTAAGTTTAACCCCTTCCTCTCCATCCACCCTCAGGGCACTATAGTGCCAGGAAAACGAGTATGTTTTTCTGGCACTTTAGTGGTCCTTTAAAATGAACCCATATTTAGTAAATATCTGTAAAACCTTGTCAGAACATTTTGGGTAATTCAGCTTGGCCACTGCTGAATTTTCAAGTTTGACGTAATCTGTGAATTGCTGCTAAGGGACAATATTTGGGGAAAATAGATGGAATACTCCAGCAATGCTTGTTTTTTCCAGAAAATAGAAACTAGTATTTAATATAACATTAAGTTTTGTAAATGAAAGAGTTAACACTTCTCTCCATAACCACAATCATTCTGCTGTGTTCCACCTATTTGAATGCGTCCCTTGACAATGTTCTAGTTTGTTTTTCATTGTGCAATAAATACAAACTCACTACATTCATAGTACATGACCTGATCTATCTATCTATCTATCTATCTATCTATCTATCTATCTATCTATCTATCTATCTATCTATCTATCTACCTGACTGTCTGTCTGTCTGTCTGTCTATCTATCTATCTATCTATCTATCTATCTATCTATCTATCTATCTATCTGACTGTCTGTCTATCTATCTATCTATCTATCTATCTATCTATCTATCTATCTATCTATCTGTCTGTCTATCTGTCTGTCTGTCTATCTGTCTATCTGTCTATCTGTCTGTCTATCTATCTATCTGTCTATCTGTCTATCTGTCTATCTGTGTGTCTGTCTGTCTGTCTATCTATCTATCTATCTATCTATTAATCTATCTATCTGACTGTCTGTATCTCTGTCTATCTATCTATATATCTATCTGTCTGTCTGTCTGTTTCTATCATCGTCTAACACTATATAAGTGTTCTAGAAACATTATGAAGATAGGAAGCTGAATCTCCAGATTTCTGTAGGGTATAATTATTTTTTCCATATTTTGTATCCTTGTATAACTTTATCCACATTAGTCCCTATGACTTCTATGTATGCTTATTAAAGACTTAAGAGGTTTGCAACAAACAGGATAAGGGAGGGCTCCTGGCTTACTTCTGGCCTTATTGGCAAGGTTCACCAGCAGTCTGACATTTTTTTAAGCTTATAAAATGCACGTTTTATACCTTATAACAGGATGAATACAGAATGAATCTTTGGTGTTTTTGGGAATCTGCATTCCACAAAATGCCATTAGGTTTCGTACAAATACAGGTAATTATCATATTTTTCTATTTAATTTATAAATGTATTTTTATGCAATATTTTGCAAAAATGGTGTTTGTGCTGTGTTGCATACAATCTGCATACAATCTCTGAAACATTTATGTCCAACAAGTATTCTAAATCATGAATAAATGAGCACGTTTATTAGATTTACAGGAGCTCCAAGGACCATAACCACTGTTGTTTCCTGTTGTGATTATGGTGTCTGACGTGTCAAGCCATTTTTTAATTGTTTGGTTTCTTACCTGTGGTCTGTCAGATGCAGCTCCCCCCTATATTGCCAACAATGGACAGGGGGAACCTCCTAAGCTGCAACTTGAGCTAAGTCCTACAATGTATTCTATTAAAGATTACTCCGAGCAGCATAACCACCACAGCCCGATGTAATGGTTCTGATACCAGCATTAAAGGGGCCCTGTTCCTCGGTAATGGGGCAGACCATTAAGAAATGGTTTGCCACCCTACCTGGGTTCCTTCCCTGGCTCTGGGTGGGCCAGAAGCTGGGAGCCATTGCTGAGAGCCACTGCTGGGAGCCATTGCTGGTAGCATTTCATTGGCTAAGAGGATCACCTTCGCTTTCAAACAATGACTGATATTCTGTGCAATGAAAGTTGCACTAAATTGACATTAGCAAGAATGAAACCCTAGTTCTGACCTGGCTCATGACACCCCAAGAATGCTATCAGAGGTGGAGTTTCACCTTCGGCAACAGAGGGGTTAAACTCCATAATTACAGAATGTCATAGAGAAATCCTACACGTACAGACTACAGGTACCATGAACACACCAAACCACTGAAGTAGTTATGGTGCTCAGAGAAACCGTGTATCCGTATGTTTACTAGAACTACCGTTTTTCCAAAGTAAATATCTAAAATCCTGCAATACTCATTTAATTTAACTGTATCCTACTTGTTTAACTGAATTAAAATCGGGTGAATAGTAGGAAACAGAAAAGGAAAGGCATATGAGCACAATAAAGATGGGGAATATGTCTGATTTATGTGGAAACACCTTTACACTTTGTAATATTTTTTATATATATGTTTATTAGGTAAATAGGCAACATTTTCCAGATGTCATATAGATTAAGAAATATCTAGAATCAATTCATGTTACACATTATACGTAGAGATGTCGCGAACTGTCCACGAACTTCTCGCGAACGGTTCGCCGCCGTTCGCTGCGAGCTGTTCATGGCGAACTCTGGTCAGCTGTCAGCAGTTTCAACATGGATGCTGTCCAGGAAGTAGGAGGGTCTGGGAGGGAGGGTCTGCTGGAGATTGGCCGGGACGTGTCAGCTGACCGGAGTTCGCCGCGAACAGCTCGTGGCGAACGTGGCGAACCGTTCGCGAGATGTTCGCGGACGGTTCGCGACATCTCTAATTATACGATGTAAAACAATACCTACTATTCATTCATGTTACACATTATACGATATAAAACAATAAAAATTCATTTCCAAATATTTTATTTTCTGGCATCAATACTATCATGAAAGTGTTTATTGTTTAGATTTTTTTTATTGGATTCATTGGTACATTGGTTTTATTTCTAATGTTTGTAGTTTAATGTAAACACATATAGTTTCATTTCTATTTATGTAGGTAGGTAGATTTACAACAAAAACAAAAATGACTTTATAATATATTTTTTACAGTAGAAAATAGTTGACTATTTAATTTTTTTTGTCATATTAAATCTTGAAATGTGTCAAACATCCATTAGTTTTTGCAACCCAATGACAAGAACAACGCAAAAGCAAGAAGTGTTTGGAAGGAAGAACCACGATACAGACTCTTGCAACCATCGGTACATGAAATGCTAACAATTACACTTATACCATCAGTTGTCACAGTTTCATTGCCGATATTGCAAATACTTTGCGTAGCACATCCACGAAGAACTGTTTTGCGTGACACTGCTCCTATATAGAAGAAATAGTTTGCACATCTGATTAATACTAGATTAACACAAAGTTAACGCAGATGCACAGATTCATAAATATGTTAATGGAAAAAAAATCAAGTAAAAAAACTCAAGTTTTCCATGTTAAAATTTTGTCAAAAAATTAAAGGAACACAGTTAGCACCATAAAAACTTAATTGACATGAAATTGTTATGGTACCAGGAGGTCCCAAAAAATATGTTAATGGGGAAAAAAAAGAGAAGAAAAAAGGTAATGTTAAAAATTAGCCAAAACTTTAAAGGAACACTCTGGGCACTACTACAATTTCATCAAGATTGAATTATTATGATACCCAGGTACTTTCTAACCTGAATGCATGAAACTGTTCTCAAACGGCTTAACCCCAAAGGTTACCTCCAGTGTCAAATCTTCAATTACCCCAGCAGCTTCAAGCTTCTAAAATTGACTTTCAGGAAGCACAGAGTGCCATAAAGAAGGACACCCCTAATGGATAGAGCAGTAAGCTGATGCTCAAAGCCAATCAACAGATCCCCATTTATAAAAAGAAAGTACGAAAAAAACTAAAGATCCGGAGTCAACATTCAAGAAATAGGTAACCCGTTCAGGTAAGAAAGCTGCTATGGACCTCCTGGCACCATAACAACTTAATTTTAATAACTTTGTTATGGTCCCTGGAGTATTCCTTAAATTTTATTAAAAGTAAAAAAAAAAAATGTATTCGCTAAAGCTTCAATTCAAGTGAAATTCAAATTTTAGACCAGAATAGCTGAATGGAAAGCAAAGACCTTCACTTTGAATTTACCTCTGATTGTCACTTTCACTAATAACCCTCACAATTAACACATTTATTCTATAACTAAAAAAGGTCAATTCCACTTTCAGTATAGTAATCGTTTCTAGTTTTGTACACAATGTCTGCTCTATAAAGTAAATGCTCCCAAATTAGAGATAAATTTATTTCATGCAAAGTTTGATCCCCCCTGTGGCCAAATATGTATTTACAGGTAAAATCTACTGATTGTAATATTTAAATCACTGAACCCTTGCTGTCTTTACTTAGCCCCAACATACGTTAGTTCTTCTGAAATGACACAATATTGATATTTAATACAACATAGTATTTGCAAAGTGTAAAAATAAACAAGACATTGAGCATTTTAAACATGCTAAATTAAGAATGATCAAGATTTCGATGTGAATTTCAAATTTCAGATAAATGTCCCCAAACTGTAAACATTCTCCAAGACACTATGTTTCCAGCTTGATTGTGTTGGCCTTAAATTTGTATCCGAGACAAGTCTCATTTTAGTAACTAATTATGTACGAAATTTTTAGTATGTACGAAATTTAAGTAATCATAAGATGGGTCAGTTAATACCTGACATTGTTGCTATTTGGACAATGCATTTGTTCTCGTCCCCAGTGCATTTCTTGACTTGCTTTGTATCACACCATTCTGTGTCATCAGCAGTGCAGGTTTTACAAATGACTCCATTTGGTTTATCACTGACATCAGGCACTTAAAGTGAAAAACATGATAAAATCACAATAATCTTTCTGTTTGTATTATTGTATCCACATTTCACAGGCTGTTAAAATTAACCCTTTAAGGACACATGACGGAAATATTCCGTCATGGTTCCCTTTTTTTTCCTGAAGTTGTGTCCTTAAGGAGTTAATCACAAATATATACCCTGATTGCTCCATAAAATATGCCTGAAATAGATAAAACAGACAAGTAGTTTTGCCAAAATTCGTTAGGAAGGGGCTTTGGCTGATGAAGTCGCAGATGTGAGGCTCTTTAGCCCCGGATATATACAGTTAGTGTACGGCAAATATGTTCAATGGTGAATTGCAGGACAATAACAATGGGTCGATGAATTTGGAGAGCAGTATTAGTAATATGGGAGGAAGAGACTGTGCTGGGGACCAATGTTGTATGCTAAAGAGGCCACAAAATGTATCCTTAGGATTAAGGCACAGTTTATTAGCTACCTTGCAACACCTTTGGACAATATAGAAACTCCTAACGGCCATATAGTGCAATGTAGAATGACTTTGAAAGAACACAAAAGATCAAATTGACTCTTTCAGTGGCCTAGTGAACAATGCTCTCTTCTGTGTGCTAAAAGTACAAAAATAAACTACTAAAAATAAAGTACAGAAGGGTCTCTAAAAAACCTTCAGATTAACCTGAGAGAGCTGGGTGACTCATCTTTACTCTCTGCATGGTAGATGTTAATTTAAGAATGAATTGAAGCGAGTCTTTGTTCATCCCGTGTGTATTTAAAATGTATTTTGTTTTTAAATATCCCTGGATGCACACTCTTGTGATATGTGCTGTGCACGCCTATGACGTGTGTACTTACATATAGGTGCAGGTGGAACGCAGTTGTCAGTTTCACAACAGGAAATGCCCTTTCTAGAATTGCTCTTGTCGGTACTAAAACTACCAGGATTATTGCAGTAATGCTGTGGCATACATGTTCTTCCAAAAAATTCATTCTTCTTTATTCCATCTAAAAGCACCAAGAGTATTCATATGAATAAATCGTTCAGTGAGATAAATATAGAAGTGGAATGGTATAGTCTTAAAATAAGATTATTGTAAAACATTTATGGCATGTTCATAAATATTTCTACTGATAACATCAAGACTCCAGAACATACTGTAAATGTAGCCATTGATTTATATAACATATAAAAAGTTCAAGAACACGGGGGACACTGAAAAAGCTTTTATTATTTTATATATATATGTATATACATGCATAAAAACAGAGCATGCAAATATGTAACTAATTATTTCAGACAAAAATTATAAAATGCAAAAAATATTGTGACCCTTTAATCAATAAAAATCTAAATGCACAGTTACTAATAAACCCCTTTTATTATCATTTTTTTAATTATTTGTACAAATAGATAGACAATGCTTCCATTCTACCACAGAAAGGGTTAATACTATATATACTTTATGGTGCTTGAGAGATCAACTTTGTCTTTGCTCTCATAGGAATATAAACGCAATTATTTTGCAGGTGCATATAATATCAGTATTATTTTACAGGCAGGCTTATTTACTAACGGGAGAATTTAGATTGAATTCAAACAGAATTTCAAATATAGGGTCAAAACAGCTGATCTAGAACAACTCTCTTAGTCAGCAATGTTATCAGTTCTGCTGCTGTGACCTTAAAATTGAAATTCACTTTGAATTCTCACTTTAGTGACTGGCCCTTATAGAATTTAGAATTAATTCTAAGAGTTTTTCTCATTAAACTTTGAACTGAAAGAAACTGAACATTTGACCAGAACAGCAAAATAAAAATTAAAATTAAAAAAATTAAAATTTAGGTTTTATAGTCTAAATGTACAATTACCTTATCAGTTATCCTTATTTCATAGTTTAGTAACTCTTTTATTTATTGATTGATTCATTGATTAATTAATTGAAATCAAGAATTAAAATGCACAATTTACCTAAAATTGCCAAATAACTGGAAAAAAAAATTAATTTTGGGCTATGTTCTTGCTATTCATTTTTAATCTTTTTTAATCTTTCCTAAATTCCTGGATTATGGAAAATCCCTGAGAGTTGTTCACTAAAGTATAGATATCAATTAAAAGTTTAGGTCAAAATAGCTAAATGGAAAACAAAGCTAAATTGGAGAATTGGTAATTCCTGGTTATTTCAAACTAAAATTTTAAATTAATTTGGAATTCTTTACAATGTACACTTTAGTGAAAATCCCTGTTTAGAGTATTCAATAAACTGGAAATTCTGAGAAACCCATGGATTCTCAAATGTTATGCCAATATAGCGAGGCTGATCAAATAACTGCTATAAATTTTGCAGAAAAGCTGGAAAAGTTTTCAAACTTAGTTTAAATGTGAAATGTTACTGATCATTGAGAACAACCCCTATTTAGTGATAAAACTTGTTTAAGTTTGTTAATTATAAATAAATACAAATACATGAATTTATCAGATTGTTCTTTTGTTAATGTTTGTTTGTCTGTCTGTCTGTCTATCTGTTATTATTATTATTATTATTATTATTATTTATATAGCACCAACAAATTCTGCAGCGCTTTACAGTGGGTGGACTAACAAACATGTAATTGTAGCAATACACATTGGATGCACGGGAACAGAGGGGTTGAGGGCCCTGTTCAATGAGCTTACATGCTAGAGGGAGTGGGGTAAACTGACACAAAAGGTAGTATTAGAGAAGTAATGACAGTTGCAGGAGAGTATCTATCTATCTATCTATCTATTATTATTATTATTATTATTATTATTATTATTATTATGTTATTATCTATAGAGCGAGAACAAATTTGGCAGTACAGTGGGTGGACAAACAAACATGTAGTTGCAACCAGACAAGTTGGATACACAGGAATAGAGTGGTTGAGAGCCCTGCTTAATGAGCTTACATGCAAGAAGGAGTGGGGTAAAGTGACACAAAAGGTAAGGATAGTATTAGACTAATGACAGTTGCAAGAGAGGAATCATTTGGGAGCTATTGACAGTTTAATTGATACGCTTTTATGAAGAAGTGGGCTTTTAATGATGGAGGAGGGAAGTGAGTTCCATAGGAATGGTGCAGCCCTCAAGAAGTCTTGAAGGCGAGCATCAGAGGTGGGAGTACGAACAGAAGATAGACGTAAGTCTTCAGTAGAGCGCCTTGACTGGACATACTTGTGTACTAGGGAAGATATTCATTATGGACTGTACTGGCGCAAGTTGAGAGCACGTAAGACCACTTTGAAGTGGATTACAGTAGTCAAGGCGAGAAAGGACAGGAAATGGACTAGCACCCTAGTCGCATCTGGCGTTAAGTAGGGTCGGATGCGCTCAATGTTTTTGAGAGGGAGGGGGACAGACACAGGAGTAGCAACACGTGAGGGAGGAAAGACCAGAATTTCAGTTTTGGTCAAGTTGAGTTTAAGGAAGTGGGCAGCCATCCAGTTAGAAATAGAAGAAAGGCAGTCAGAGACACTAGTCAAGAGGGATGGGGAGAGATCAGGTGACGACAGGTAGATTTGCGTGTCATCCGCATATAAATGATATTGGAAGCCAAAGGAGCTAATGAGTTTACGAAGGGAGGCAGTATAGATAGAGAACAGTAGGGGACCAAGGACTGAACTTTGGGGGACACCAACAGAGAGGAGTTGGGGAGATGAAGCAGAACCAGGGAAAGAAACACTGAAAGATCGCTGGGAGAAGTAGGAGGAGCAGCAGGAGAGAGCAATATCTTGTAGACCAATATTGCGGAGGATGAGAAGAAGCTGTTGATGATCAACAGTGTCAAAAGCTGTAGAAAGGTCAAGGAGAATTAGGATAGAGTAGTGACCACCACGAGATTTTGCAGTGAGTAGATCATTGGATACTTTGGTCAGTGCCGTTTCCACAGAGTGCTTAGTGCGGAAACCAGACTGAAGCGGGTCTAGTAGAGAGTTGGACTCGAGGAAGTCTGTCAATCTCGCATACACAATTCTTTCAAGGATCTTGGATGCAAAAGGCAGTAGCGAAATAGGACGGTAGTTGAATGGGGAGTTAGGGTCAAGGTTGGGCTTCTTTAGAATTGGGGTTATAGTTGCATGTTTGAAGAGCGATGGAAATATGCCAGAGGAGATGGAGAAATTGAGAATTTTAGTGAGAGGTAGAGAAAGAGAAGAAGACAGAGTATGGATTAGATGCGAGGGAATTGGATCTAGGGAGCAGGGGGAGTTATGATTGATTGGAAGGTACATTGAGGGGAAAGAAGGATGCCTACACCGCCTCCTTTACAGTTGAGTCTGGCAGTGTGAGAGAATTGTAGCCCACCAAAACATAAAGAGGCAGGAGTAGCGCTATCAGAGGGGGACAGCCAGGTCTCTGTAAGTGCGAGTAGGGTGAGTGAGTTTGAGATTGAAAAGTCGTGTATGGCTGTTGATTTTAAATTACTGCAGATGGAGCGGGCGTTCCAGAGTGCACACTGAATGTTGGTAAGTTAGGGTAAAGGGCAGAGTATTGTGATGAGGTTTGTGGGGTTTCAGGTTTTCTTAGTGTGTGTAGAGAAGGTGAAGGGCCCTGAATTGGGAGAGACATCACCAGCTGCTAAAAGCAGGAGGAGAGAAAGTGGTAGGAGGTGTGAATGGGTTTTGTATGCCAGGAGTCTAGGATTAGATTGTTTGTGGGTAGGAGTGAGAGAGGAGAAAGATGAGTGCAAAGCATGAGATGAGAGAAGGGGGGAGTATAGCAAAGAGGGGCATATGTAAATGTGGATGGGGGAATGAGTGAAGTGGGTGTAAGGCGAGATTTTTATACTGAGGGAGAAGGAGGAAATAAAGAGGAGGAGAAGAAAGATCATTGCTAAACTGTGAAAAAGTACATTGGAAATAATTGGAATATCAAGAGCAGGTGAAGGTAGGGTAAATATTAAGTTTTATGGGTTAAGAAAGTGCAGGAGTTTACTAATAAGAGGCAGTGTGTACACCTGTTATTTATACTTATCTAAAATTTGGGTGTGATAGACAATCTATAAATGTAATAATGAGCATGGGGTGCGATGGTGAAGGGAGGGGAGGCCGGGTATCAGACTTTCTTACAGCAGTATTGGGGCTTGAAAGTTTGGAAATCGGGCTGTTGAATAAAGATATGCGAGGGTCAGGTAGGCTTGCAATAAAGCTGAGGGAGGGGGATATGTATCTGGGCGCAGAGATGAAGGGATGGTTATTCAAATAAAAACAAACATATCAATAAAAGAAGGTCAGTCAGAAATCAGAGGGGAAATAGAGGAATAGATATAGGTGAATAAAACAATTACACACAGGGCTAGCAAAACTAAATTTTAGCTCGGCAGACAAGATATAAAGGCAAGAAAATACACAATTCACACAGGATATATAAAATAAAATAAATGTACAGGCTGATTACATTAAATATAAATAATGCTGTGCAGTATAGAGTCTTGGTGTTGTCTTCCAGAAGGCTACCTTTGCTTATTGTAGATGATCAGCTGATGGAGCACTGACTTTCTTACAGCAGTATTGGGGCTTGATAGTTTGGAAATCAGGTTGTTGAATAAAGATCGATCTATCTACAGGTGATATTCGAAAGATTAGAATATCGTGCAAAAGTTCATTTATTTCAGTAATGCAATGTAAAAGGGGAAACTAATATAGGAGATAGACGCATTAAATGCAAAGCAAGATAGTTCAAGCCGTGATTTGTCATAAGTGCGATGATTATGGCTTACAGCTCATGAAAACCCCAAATCCACAATCTCAATAGAATATTACATGCAATCAATAAAACAAGGAGTTACATAGAACAATATCGGACCTCTGAAAAGTATAAGCATGCATATTGACTCAGTACTTGGTTTGGGCCCCTTTTGCAGCAATTACTGCCTCAATGCAGCGTGGCATGGAAGCTATCAGCCTGTGGCACTGCTGAGGTGTTATGGAAGACCAGGATGCTTCAATAGCGGCCTTCAGCTCTTCTCCATTGTTCAGTCTCATGTCTCTCATCTTTCTTTCGGCAATGCCCCATAGATTCTCTATGGGGTTCAGGTCGGGCGAGTTTGCTGGCCAATCAAGCACAGTAATCCTACGGTAATTGAAACAGGCTTTGGTGCTTTTGGCATTTTCCTGCTGGAAAATGAATTCAGCATCCCCATAAAGCTTGTCTGCAGAAGAAAGCATGAAGTGCTCCAAAATCTCCTGGTAGATGGCTGCATTGACCCTTGACTTAATGAAGCACAGTGGACCAACACCAGCAGATGACATGGCTCCCCAAATCAACACAGACTGTGGAAACTTCACACTGGACTTCAAGCATCTTGCAATGTGTGCCTCTCCATTCTTCCTCCAGACTCTGGGTCCTTGGTTTCCAAATGAGATGCAAAAGTTGCTCTCATCAGAAAAGAGGACTTTGGACCACTGAGCAACAGTCCAGGTCTGTTTTTTCTTTAGCCCAGGTAAGACGCTTCTGACGTTGTTTGTTGTTCAAGAGCGGCTTGACAAGAGGAATCCGATATCTGAAGCCCATGTCCAGGATCCGTCTGTTTGTGGTGGCTTTTGATGCACTGGCTCCAGCCTCAGTCCACTCCTTGTGAAAGTCCCCAACTCTTTTGAATGGCCTTTTCCTGACAATCCTCTCCAGGCTGCGATCATCCCTGCTGCTTGTGCACCTTTTTCTTCCACATAACTTTTTATTAATGTGCTTTGATACAGCACTTTGGGAACATCCAACTTCCTTCGCAATTACATTTTGAGACTTTCCCTCCTTATGGAGGGTGTCAATGATGGTTTTCTGCACAACTGTCAGGTCAGCAGTCTTCCCCAGGATTGTGATTCCTACTGAACCAGACTGAGATACCATTTAAAGGCTCAGAAACCCTTTGCAGGTGTTATGGCTTACTTAGCTGATTAGAGTGGGACACAGTGAGCCTAGAATATTGCACCTTTTCACAATATTCTAATTAACTGAGATTGTGGATTTGAGGTTTTCATCTATCTATCTATCTATCTATCTATCTATCTATCTATCTATCTATCTATCTATCTATCTATCTATCTGTCTGTCTGTCTGTCTGTCTGTCTGTCTGTCTGTCTGTCTATCTATCTATCTATCTATATGTCTATCTATCTGTATATCTGTCTACTCAACCATTTTAATACATTACTAATTCACAAAGAATATTTATAGTACATACCTTCAGTGCTTACTGTATGTGTAGAAATACAAACTCTCCCATTATCACAGGTTACATTGTTACCTGTGCAGAATGTTGTACCCTGTACCAGACACAATGTACACGACAGACAGTTACCTAAAAATAATGATTGATCAAAAAAAAGTCAGTGCATCTTCATGATGTAAATGATTAAACTGTCACAGTGAAGAAATTTTTTGTGAACTTTAAATTGCACTAAAGCAAAATGTTAATAATTATATATTTATTCCCCTCTCTGGTCATTCAACCCAAATCTGGATACTACTTTGTAGAAGCAGATAAGATAAACCTTTTGATTTTATGACGAATTTAGAGGTGTGAGTAATAATGTGTGTTAATATCTTGCCATCGTGTTCCACTTTACACGTATACTTGCCTTCTGCCAAATTAAAACCACTTTCCTATGTTCCTTTTCTGCAAGAAGCTGGTTACTTTTTTTTTTAGATTTAACAGGAACAATTCTACTAAGAAATGTGGTGTGAGAAGGATATGTGTTTACATCATGAATATACAAATGCAAACATTAAATACAAAGCCATAGAAAGTAACAGGAGCAATTATTTACGTTGGTGTTAAATAATTATAAACCTATAGTATGTTTGGATATTTGCTCACTCAACATGATTATATGTATTTGAATAATATTTATATTAATTTACGTATTTTGGTTAAAATGTGTGACTATAGACCAGGTATATATCTGAGTCTTTTTTATGGAGGGTAAAAATGCAAAAATCAGGGAGACAAGTCCTTGGCTTCTTATTATTCATTTTTGGCACTCAAGACATTGCCAAGTGCTTTTACACGTTAACTATTCACTTCACTTCATATGTGTTGTATTGAATTACACAATAGTGATGTCCCGAACGGTTCGCCGAACGGTTCGCCATGGACTCATCATTGAGTAAACTTTGACCCTGTACCTCACAGTCAGCAGACACATTCCAGCCAATCAGCAGCAGACCCTCCCTCCCAGACCCTCCCACCTCCTGGACAGCTCACTAAGAATGCAGCTTCACAATGAATTTAAAATGGATGCTGTCCAGGAGGTGGGAGGGTCTTGGAGGGAGGATCTGCTGCTGATTGGCTGGAATGTGTCTGCTGACTGTGAGGTACAGGGTCAAAGTTTACCGCATATGTTCGCCATCCGTGGCGAACCGTTCGGCGAACCGTTCGGGACATCACTATTACACAACAATATGGTAGCCATACATGTTGACAATGGTGCTGTAGTTTATAAAGGTGGGTTTTGGCATAACATTTAGGATGATGACATAGAATTATAGTGAAAAAAACATAGATTTTATTCAGCATCTGCCACAGTGGATCAACGCTGGAACTTTCGTCAGGAGGTGGCAGATGCTGAATAAAAGCTTTTTTTCACTGGAGTTTCCCTTTAATAATATAAACCTAACGAGTAAAACTAACTGTAACCTAACCTACTATATTTTTTAACTCCCTGGAGTGCTGTCTTTACAAAGTATTTGCTAACATTTTGCTGATAAGCACCAGGCGTTTGTATCTATTACTGAAGTGCAAGCATTGGAACCTTTATGCATATAAATGTAATGTACTTTTAGATAGTTGAATATTTTGAAAAAAAATCTTTCTTTTTTTATCAGATCAACAAATTAATCCCAATGTATGATTTGACAGTTGAACTTGAAGTAAGGATCACATAAGGTAAAATAATAAAACGCTTATTCTCAGATGTGTGGTGTACAAATTTGGCTGTCCAGCTTTTTGTTGGCCTACAGCATTGTATACAATACAACATTCTAGTGTTTTGTCCTTAGTTTAAGGAAATACAAGCTAAACGATTGTAAAGTTTCAATCCACCAACGTTTAAAAATCTGATTCACAAAAAACATAATGATCATATAACAAATCACATACAAATTAATACGTATAACAAATAATATTTTGATACAAACTTACAGTACCTGTTCTTAAAAGAGCTAAAATCATGCAGAATGCACAAAGGATAGAATTCATTGTGATGGGTTTTCTTAGACTCTGTATCGACAAATGTTATGACAGTGAAGACTAAGCAGTAAGTGGTGAATATTAACCAGATTATCCTCTACTTGTAAAAACTGTGTAGGTTAAGTTACAGTTAGTTTTACTGGGTAGGTTTATATTATTAAAGGGACACTCCAGGCTTCCACACACGTTAGATGCACTATGTAGGTTAGGTTACAGTTAGTTATACTGGGTGGGTTTATATTATTAAAGGGACACCCCAGGCTCTCACACACATTAGATGCACTGTGTAGGTTAGGTTACAGTTATACTGGGTGGGTTTATATTATTAAAGGGAAACTTCAGGCTCCCACACACGTTAGGTGCACTGTGTAGGTTAGGTTACAGTTACTTTTACTGGGTAGGTTTATATTATTAAAGGGACACTCCAGGCTCCCACACACGTTAAATGCACTGTGTAGGTTAGGTTACAGTTAGTTATACTGGGTGGGTTTATATTATTACAGGGACACTCCAGGCTCCCACACACGTTAGATGCACTGTGTAGGTTAGGTTACAGTTAGTTATACTGGGTGGGTTTATATTAAAGGGACACTCCAGGCTCCCACACACGTTAGGTGCACTGTGTAGGTTAGGTTACAGTTAGTTATACAGGGTGGGTTTATATTATTAAAGGGACACTCCAGGCTCCCACACACGTTAGGTGCACTGTGTAGGTTAGGTTACAGTTAGTTATACTGGGTGGGTTTATATTATTAAAGGGACACTCCAGGCTCCCACACACGTTAGATGCACTGTGTAGGTTAGGTTACAGTTATACTGGGTGGGTTTATATTATTATAGGGACACTCCAGGCTCCCACACATGTTAGATGCACTGTGTAGGTTAGGTTACAGTTATACTGGGTGGGTTTATATTATTAAAGGGACACTCCAGGCTCCCACACACGTTAGGTGCACTGTGTAGGTTTGGCTACAGTTATACTGGGTGGGTTTATATTATTAAAGGGACACTCCAGGCTCCCACACACGTTAGGTGCACTGTGTAGGTTAGGTTACAGCTATACTGGGTGGGTTTATATTATTAAAGGGACACTCCAGGCTCCCACACACGTTAGATGCACTGTGTAGGTTAGGATACAGTTCGTTATACTGGGTGGGTTTATATTATTAAAGCGACACTCCAGGCTCCCACACACGTTAGATGCACTGTGTAGGTTAGGTTACAGTTAGTTATACTGGGTGGGTTTATATTATTAAAGGGACACGCCAGGCTCCCACACACGTTAGGTTCACTGTATAGTTTAGGTTACAGTTATACTGGGTGGGTTTATATTATTATAGGGACACTCCAGGCTCCCACACACGTTAGGTGCACTGTGTAGGTTTGGCTACAGTTATACTGGGTGGGTTTATATTATTAAAGGGACACTCCAGGCTTCCACACATGTTAGATGCACTGTGTAGGTTTGGCTACAGTTATACTGGGTGGGTTTATATTATTAAAGGGACACTCCAGGCTCCCACACACATTAGATGCACTGTGTAGGTTAGGTTACAGTTAGTTATACCGGGTGGGTTTATATTATTAAAGGGACACTCCAGGCTCCCACACACATTAGGTGCACTGTGTAGGTTAGGTTACAGTTAGTTATACCGGGTGGGTTTATATTATTAAAGGGACACTCCAGGCTCCCACACACGTTAGATGCACTGTGTAGGTTAGGTTACAGTTAGTTATACTGGGTGGGCTTATATTATTAAAGGGACACTCCAGGCTCCCACACACGTTAGATGCACTGTGTAGGTTAGGTTACAGTTAGTTATACTGGGTGGGTTTATATTCTTAAAAGGACACTCCAGGCTCCCACACACATTAGATGCACTGTGTAGGTTAGGTTACAGTTAGTTATACTGGGTGGGTTTATATTATTAAAGGGACACTCCAGGCTCTGACACACGTTAGGTGCACTGTGTAGGTTAGATTACAGTTAGTTATACTGGGTGGGTTTATATTATTAAAGGGATACTCCAGGCTCCCACACACGTTAGATGCACTGTGTAGGTTAGGTTACAGTTAGTTATACTGGGTGGGTTTACATTATTATAGGGACACTCCAGGCTCCCACACACGTTAGGTGCACTGTGTAGGTTAGGTTACAGTTAGTTATACTGGGTGGGTTTACATTATTATAGGGACACTCCAGGCTCCCACACACGTTAGGTGCACTGTGTAGGTTAGGTTACAGTTAGTTATACTAGTTGGGTTTATATTATTAAAGGGACACTCCAGGTTCCTACACGTTAGGTTTAATGTGTAGGTTTGGTTACAGTAAATTATGATGAGTGCAGATACAAGTGCATGACAAATTATGACAGCATTAAAAGTAAGACAAAATATAATCTTAATATAACACTTTTTATTGCAGACATCTGCCTATTAACATACATCAGTTTTTAAGTAGTGATGTCGCGAACCCGAAATTTTCGGTTCGCGAACGGCGAACGCGAACTTCCGCAAATGTTCGCGAACTGGCGAACCGCCCGAAACGCCATTGACTTCAATGGGGAGGCGAATTTTAAAACACACAGGGACTCTTTCTGGCCACAATAGGGATGGAAAAGTTGTTTCAAGGGGACTAACACCTGGACTGGCGTGTGCGGGAGGGGATCCATGTAGGAAACTCCATGGAAAGTTACACAGTTGATGCAGAGTCTGGTTTTAATCCATAAAGGGCAGAAATCACCTAACATTCCTAAATCACAATCAATATGGATTGACACCTGACATATGACATATTGACACCTTGACATATATGGATTGACACCTGTCCTCAGAGCCCTGATGCACACACGGACACAGAGCAGAATAGAGACTGGTCCCCTACATGGGTCACTTGGCAGATATGGATTGACACCTGTCCTAAGGATCCCTATTTTTACTGACACCAGAGCAGGAGATAGGGGACTGTTCCCCTACATGGTCACTTGGCAGATATGGATGACTTACCTGTCCTAAGGTTCCTGGTACACACTGACACAGAGCAGAATAGGGACTGTTCCCCCTACATTGGGTCACTTGGCAGATATGGATTGACACCTTGTTACAAACTGCTATTTGTAACGGGCCCTTTAAATGGCAAATTGCCCTGCTTCCCTGGGTTGTGGAAAAGCCTATTTGCCAGCCTCCTCCCGCATGACTATGGCCCCTGGGAGATTGTGAAAATGTATGCACTTTTATTTGGTGTGTATGGCCTTTAAGACTGTCAGTGGGCATATTTGGGGCTTATGGACTCTTTATGTGACTGGTGCTGGCCCTTTAAACACCTTTTTTGGGACATCAGGAAGATTGGGACACTGCCCTTTTAAGGCCGTGTCCCCAGACTTGTTGGGGACACTGCCCCTTTAAGACGGTGTCCCCTGTGTCCCCAGACCTGGTGCAAACCCTTTGTGCCTGCCTGGCTAATTCCCACTTGGTTCAGTAAATGGAAATTATTAGTTGCAGAGACTAAGTCCCATTCGCCATGGGAATTTAGTCTTTTTTCAGCCGCTTTTTCAGCCTTTATTTCTGCTGCAGAGACTAAGTCCCATTCAAGCATGGACTTAGTCAGTTTTTCAGCCGCTTTTTCAGCCTTATTTTAGCTGAGAGACTAAGTCCATTCGGCTGCATGGGACTTAGTCTTTTTTCTCAGTCGCTTTTCAGCCTTATTGCTGTAGAGACTAAGTCCCATTTATGATGGACTTAGTCGCTTTTTCAGCCTGAAATAGACCGGACCTCACAGCCCAAATCTATGGAACTGTTTTGGCAGTGAAAATGCAGTTTTATGGGTCGGTCATAAAGGGACCTCCAGCTAACTTTAACCCCTGATGGATTTGGCTGATTTTTGGTTATGTTTATGTTTTAAGTGTGCTGATTCCAAATATGTAATTATGAAGATTGGATGTGTAGTTTTAAAGTTACAGTGTATGGCTAAAAACTGTATTTTTACTGCCTGTGTTTAATTATATTAATCTCTTCCCAAACGTCATTTCGTTCAAAGTGGAGAGAATGTTAAAAAAAATATTTTTGTTCTGAGTGTGAGAAATGCTTTTCAGCCGCTTCTAATCTTAAGCATCATTTGAGGAGCCATACAGGAGAGAAACCTTATTTGTGGTGTGTTTAGTATTGTTCTGATCAGTTTAATACCTTCCGCGTCTCCTATCAGTGGACGTGTATATGGCAACCATTTTAGGAACCGTACACCTGGGACCCGAGCAAGGTCACCTCGTTCAACAGGCGACAACATTTGTCCCTGGAAAACTATCCTGGACATTCTGTACAATTTGTATGGATATGGCAGTGATTTCTGTAACAGGGAGATGAAGAAGATGCTTGGTCGGTCCTCTTAATTCAAATTTGGGGCACTGCGCGGTCAAGCTAATGTGCCACCAGATAGGAGTGGTGTGTTTAGTATTGTTCTGATCAGCTTAATACCTTCCGCTGCCTCCTATCAGTGGACGGTACACTGCATTGATTTTGTAACAGGGAGATGGAAGAAGAGGTTTATCGGTCCTCTTACTGCAAATTTGGGGCACCAAGTTGTCAAGCTAATGTGACACCAGATAGGGAGGCAGTTTAGTCATTTTACCGTTAATACCTCCGCCTCCTATCAGTGGACGTGGTACACCCATTGATTTTGTAACAGGGAGATGGAAGAAGAGGCTTGGTCGGGTCCTCTTACTGCAAATTTGGGGCACCGCGCCGGTCAAGCTAATGTGCCACCAGATAGGAGTGGTGTGTTTAGTATTGTTCTGATCAGTTTAATACCTTCCACGTCTCCTATCAGTGGTCGTGTACACGGCATTGATTTTTGTAACAGGGAGATGGAAGAAGAAGCTTGGTCGGTCCTCTTACTGCAAATTTGGGGCACTGCGCGGTCAAGCTAATGTGACACCAGATAGGAGTGGTGTGTTTAGTACTATTTTTATCAGTTTAATACCTTCCGCGTCTCCTATCAGTGGACGTGAATACGGCATTGATTTTTGTAACA